TGTAAGTCAGAGCCTCAGGTCCCGGCTGGGCCACCTGACCCTGCACGCTGACATGGGAGGCACTGAGCCTCCCTCCAAATGTGAACCCCAGCCTCCTGTCTGTGTCCAGCCTCAGCTGCTCTGAATGAGACAGATTTGAAGCCAGTGTGTGCTTCATGGGACCCCCATGTAAGCATGAGATAGAACAGAGGACAGAGAACACTGGACTAGCTCCTCGCAGGTGCCCATGTCAGTGGCCAAGGCTGCTTCCCCAGGGCCCGTGGCTGAGGCTGTGGGTGAAGCCAGGAAACCCTGCAGGTATTTCACCGTGAGCTCCTCGGAGGGTCGGTGTTCCCTCCATCTCCACTATTCCTTGCCTATCTTTCTGCCTTTGAACTATTAGAAAAAAGAAAACCTGAAGAAATCAAAGTATTAAACGAATAAATGGCTTCTCTCAGGATGCACAAATTCTGTGAAGACAAAGCACTTTGCATCTGCCCAGCTCGGTAGCCCCAGCCAGCCTCCTTCCTGTAAGACCCTGTTAGGATACTCTCCCTGCTAAGAGAGGCCTTATGTGTCCTTTATTAAATGTTTTGGAGATAAATGATGAACATAAAAAAGCACATTGCTTTATTTCCTCGTTATTCTTTTCCCGTGGGGATCTTCCCACTTCTTCCCCAGTGTGTTTCTCCTTGCGGCCAATGACACTGGCTTTCTCCTTACGGCGCTGTGGAAGACTTCTCCCTCTGACAATGGAATCTACGGCAGGAAAGGAGAGCGAGTTCCTAGGAAAAACCCTAAGTACCCGGAGAGCAGGAGGATTGCAGCTCTGACAATGATTCCAACAGTGGGACTCAAACTTCAGGGTCAGCAAAGCCACATGGGACATGTCAGGGAAACCTGGGCCCGGGAAGGGAGGGAGGAACAGGTGGCTGAAGAAGGAGGAACAGATGGTGGAGGCTGGAAGGACAGAGGCTGGGGTCTCCCCGAGGGTTGGGGGAGGGATCTCCCCTCCTCCATCCCCTCCCTCAGACCTGCACTGACTACACAGAGTCCAAGGCCAGGGTCTGGGCCTGACAGATGGCATTCTGTAGGGTTAGGGGCTTGGAGGTGGGCCCCTGCCCTAGCATGTGGATAGCTCATGAAAGGAGACAGCACATCGCTGTGGCTGCTCCCTGAGTCCATTGGCAGGACCGGGCCACAGGGTCTTGGAGCAGTGGAGAGTAGAAGGTATATGGTCCCTCCTGGAGAGCAGGCCGTGCTTGGGGACAGGCTTTGTGGAGATGACTCACCCAAGGTCTCTTTGACTTGACCTCTCTGCTTCCCATGAAAATTGGACACAGCTGAGCCCGTCCTGGGCATGCAGGGGTGGGGCTGGGAGATACTGCTACTGCCCTCATCTCCCTGCCTGGGGCTCCCCTGTGGCAGTGCTCGACTCCTGCTGACATCCCAGGACACTCTCCCCAGTACAGGGTGAGGCAGACAGTGAGGACAAAGATGGAAGCAGGATGCAGCCATTTGGGGAATGCTGGTTCAAGTCCCAGCTCCTCTGCTCTGATCACAGGAAGCACAAGTGCTTGCTCCAATTCTGGTGCTCCTGCCACCAATGCAGGAGACCCAGACGGAGTTCCCGACTCCTAGATGTGGCCTGGCCCAGCTCTGCCTGGGACAGTCATTTGGGAAATGAACTGGTAGGTAGAAGATACCCCAGTACCCTCAGTCTCTGTCTTTCAAAATAAGAAGGCAAATAACTAAATAATTAAAGAGAGAGAGAGAGCACAGGGGACAGACTGGTAGTGTAATGGATAAAACAGCCCCCTGTGTGATGTATTCTACTTTGTGTCTCAACTGTTACACTTCTACTCGGGTTCCCTCCCAGTGGCCTGGGAAAAGCAGCTGAGGGTGGCCCAGGTGTTTAGGTCCCTGCCCCGTATTTGGGAGACCTGGAGGAAACTCCTCGTTTCAGGCTGGCCCAGCCCAGGGATAGCAGGTAGGCTGTCACGGGATCTGGCCACCTGCATGGGGAACCTGGGTGAAGTCCCAAACTCCCAGCTTCAGCCAAGATGAATGGATGACAGCCTTGCTGTCTTTCTCACTTCTCAGAGCTCCTTTCCCCAAAGGCAGGAAATGGTGCAGAGGAGAGAGGATGAGCCTCTCACACCCTCATGCTGACAGCCACGGCTCAGCGTCCACTAGGCAACCTGTCCAGGAGTCTAAGACAGAAGCTAGCTAGCAGACCTCAGTCCACCACTGCACTGCCAAGTCCCAGAATTGGGGCAAGGAGAGAAACTTCTTGAAGGAGCACCAAGCACAAGTTCCCCACCTAAGACAGGAGACCCACAGGAGCAACCAGCAGGGAGAAGGCGACCCCCAGAGGCACAGCAGGTGTGGCTCAGGTCAGCAGCCCCACTTGCAGGGCCCTGGCCACACCCTCAAACCTTTTGTGAGAATTGGGAAATGTGTCTGTCACATTTCCAGATACTTATAGCAAACTTTTTAAATTGTTCTGAATATGAAACATTTTTTTATTTAAAATATTTCAAAAAATGCTGGAATTAGAATATCCATCATCTGAGGGCCTGATTCTTATTTTTGTTTGTTTTATTTACTTATTTTATTTTTATTGGAAAGTCAACACACAGAGAGGAAGAGAGAGAGAGATCTTCTGTCTGCTGATTCACTCCCCAAGTGGCCGTAACATCTGGAGCTGAGCTGATCCAAAGCCAGAAGCCAGGAGCCTCTTCCTGGTCTCTCGTATGTGTGCAGGGTCCCAAAGCTTTGCGTGTCCTCGATTGCTTTCCCAGGCCACAAGCAGGGAGCTGGATGGGAAGCAGGGGTTCCGGGATTAGAACCAGTGCCCATATGAGATTCCAGTGCATGCAATGTGAGGACTTGAGCCACTAGGCCACTGCACCAGGGCCCTGAGGGCTTTATTTTTAGCAGCATGTGCACACACACATAAACTCATACACATGTGTACAAATGCAGTGTGCATAAACACATGCATGAGCTCACATGCACACACAGATGCATATATAGATGCATGATGCAGACTCATATACACACAGCCTTCAAAATTGCACGGTTGGTGCCTCTTATGTCAAAAACATGCATGAAGTGCAATATTTTCTGCACCAAAGCAAAGTTCTCTCTTAATGCTGTCTTCTGCACTTTTGCAAGCAGCTTCAAGTCCAAGGGGATCAGGTGGCTGGGCCCTGAGGACCGGGCTGTCAGGGAAGCACTTCCTCTGTCTGACCCTGGACCGGTTTGTCCTCACTGCCAGCTCCCATTTTCAGAACTCATGGCTCTTAGATGGGGCCCTGGAATCTGAATATTTCCAAATGTTTCCCACACCCCAGGTATACTTTTGGGTGGTCAATCAAGTTTATTCAGTTGTGCGTCTTCTCTGTCCATGCAATGGCGAATCTGCCATGCAGAAAGGGCCACCGACGCAGCCTGGGCTGCCCTGGGAGACTATCCTGGCCACAAGCCCTATGGAGCCCACAGGAGTTCTGGGGTCACTTCTATGGTGGAGGAGTAAAGGGGCCTGGGGGCCAGGGTGGTGTCTCCTCCTTCTGGCCAAACCCCTTGCTTGAGAGGGTCCAGAGGGTCTGGACCCTTCCTCTCCCTACCCACCAGCTATAAACCCTGTGGGCTCCTCGGGACACCCTAAACCGCCTCAGCCCATGTGGTCTCCATTCTGCTGCTTCAAACTCCTCAGCGCCATGATCTGTAACACCCACCTGATGCACAGAAAATTATGCAAATTTCTTTTCTCTTTATTAAAAAACATGTAACAACAACAACAACAAAAACCCAAAGAGTTGAGTCTTGGAAAGCCAGCAGAGCTTCTTAGAGGCAGGAGCATTAGCAGAAGAGATGTTGGGCTTTGTGGCCCTGGGGGAGGTGGGGGCGGAGGGGAGGAGTCCTGGGCAGCTGAACACCCTCCTGATCAAAAGCGATGCTGGGGAGTCCCTGTGTGCCAGGTGCCAGCAGGCTTGAAGGGCTGCTCTCCTGGAGTGGGGGAGGGGGCGTCTCACCACTCCCAGCCCCCTCCCCCAGCCTGGAGCCCCCTCTGTCCCCCCAGCCTCCCCCTGGGGAATCAGACTGCAGCCTCTGCTACCCACTCTGTGTGCTGCACCCACAAACCCGGGGGGCAGGGGAGGATGGATGCCACATGGTGAAGGCTGAGTGACAGGCAGTGAGTACCACCCGCTTGTGAACTTGGTCCAAACCGGGCACTCTCCCCTACCTGCTCTCCCAGGGGTGAGGGTCTGTGATGGGTGTAGGGGTGTTGGTCCCCCTCTCCCTGTACAGGTGCAGAGGGGAGAAGAGCCCCCATTCCCTGTGTGGTCTGGGGCGAGTCCCTTCTCCCCATAATAGTGAGGAAGGAGGGGCCCAGGAAGGCGACAGAGTAGCCTGAGGAAACCGCAGTTCCTATCAGCTCTGATGGCTTTTTGGGGGTCCAGCTACTGGTTCCAGCAGGGCTGGTAGCCCCTGACTCCCACAGGCAGGAGATAAGCATGGGACACAAGGTGAGAGGGCGGCAGTAGTGGTGTGCTGCCGGTGCCAGGGGCAGCTTGGAGAGTTGGGTCGGGGGGTGCCTTCCAGCTGGGGTTCCCTTGGCAGTCCTCATGGGTCCCGTGGGGGAACAGCAGGTGCTGGGGTCTCCTGGACAGCAGGGCAGGACTCTCAGCATCTGAGGTGTTCACCAGTCCTTGGCAAGCCCCTCCTGCCAGGGACAAGGGCTGGGAAGAGGCCTGGCAAAGGATGCTCCCCTTCCTCAAAAGGGGAGACAGGGAGGGAGGAGGGGCGAAGGGGGTCACAGCCACAGGGCCTCTCTTAAGGAGTCTCGCAGAAATCACTGAGCAACAAGAACTAGGCAGACAGAACAAAGGAAAAAAGGAGGAAAACGGAGATAAAAGACACGAGAATAATAAATGAAGGTGGACGCCTTAAGGGTGGGAACAAAGAGGAGGCGGGGAGGAAGCGGCGATGCCGCGCTGGCTGCCGAGCCACGGTCACTGCAGGGCCGGATGCCGCGACCTCCCGTCCCGTCTGCGGCCGGGCTTCTGGTCCTGGTCCGGCTTCCGGTCCTGGTCCGGCTTCCGGTCCTTGCGCAGGCGCCGGTCTCGGCGGCCCTTCTTTGGCCGAGCGTTTCTCTCTGCAAGGAGGGCGCAGGGCGGGGCTGCTGAGGACGGGCCGGCAGGGGCGTGGCCGCTGAGGGGCGGGTCTGAAGGGGCGGGGCCGGCGGAGGAGCGGGGCGGAGGGGGCGTGGCCGCTGAGGGCGGGCCGGCGGAGGGCGGGTCTGAAGGGGTGGGGCAGGCAGAGGGGGCGGGCTGCTGAGGGCGGGGTACTGATGATCTCTCAACCACGCCTCCTCCGCCCAATGTAGACCCAGGTTGAGTTGCCCAACTGAGCTTTACTCTTCAGTCCTTAGGGCTCCCCTGTTGACTTAGCACCCATACTACCCATACTAGCCGGGACACCTGCTACCTGGAGCCCTGCCCCAAGACCGCCCCGCCCCCTGTCTGCAGAGACACATCACTTAGTCAAGCAACTGCATCTTTAGGCAATTTTACCATCGTGCAAACATAATGGAGTGCATGCACAAAAGAAGATGGTGCCGTATCATGAGGTCATCTATCTTATAGTTCTCCTGGCATGTGTAGGGACTGCTGTTGTTCACTGTGTCTTCATGTGGGTGAGTTACGGGCACAGTCCCACTGCCTCCAGCTCACAGGCAGTGCTCCAGAGTTCTGTACTCCTCTGGGTGCCTTGATGGGAAGAAGGCTGACTCAACCTTGATTCTGTCTAGCCCTTGATCCCGTCTTAACCTTAACCCCCAAGCCATCACTTTCTGGGGGAGCTGGAATAATTTTTTTTTTCTTTTGGAGAGGCAGAGAGAGAAAAGAGAGAATGCTCTCTTTTCTGGTTCAGCCCCAAATGGCTGCAGTGGTGAGGGCTGGACAGAGGCCAAAGCCAGCCCTTGGCCCAGGTCTACACCACCACTATTGTGCTCCAGGGTCTGTGGGAGCAGGAAACTGGAGTCAGAAGCCAATTCTGGCAGTGGAACCTAGGCCCTCCAATGGCAACCATGGACCTCTGAAATGCAAGGCCAAGCATTCCCCTCCGGATGCCCTGATGAGGTGTCTCCAGAGGGGGCAGACTGAGGCCCAGGCAGGGGACCGGCTGGCCCGGGGGCACAGCCTGTGGTTTCCCTCATAGATGGAAAACTTGGGACAGAGGAGACGGAGTGAGTGGCCAGTGGCTGGGAGGAAGCAAGTGAGGCCTGGTGGTTCCTCTCCCGGCCTGGGTCCTGTCCCTTGGCTCAGCCCCCTCTCTGCTGACCCCTGAGATGAGGGTTGCTGACTGCAGGGGTTCCCATGGCCATTCCGAGCCCTTGGCCAGGAGCTGACTGTGCAGGCCACAGAGGAGGGCTGGGGGCAGGTGCTATTTAGGTGGCCTCTGGCAGCCTGTGGGGCTGCGTGGATTTGTGTCCTTATTCCCGCTTTTTACTTGGAGCTGCACCTGTCTTGGGTCTGGATGCCAAGTATTGGGGAGCATGCCTACCCATTGGTTATTTGTGGAACCTCCCTGGGGTATGGATAAAGAGACCAGACTGTCCAGTTGCATGAATTACTGGGCGCCATTGGGAAATCGTATCTCTGGCTGGCCACACGGCTGTGCATTGTGGCTGCCCACAGCTGCAGCCTCCGCGGTGACGTCACCCTTCTGGCACGTTGTGCCCTAGCATTTCCACAGAGACACACATATTTTTTCTCTCCTGCTTTGCATCTACTGGGTGAGCTGATGGCCATGGGCTATGCAGAGTTGAGCATGAATTTCATTTCAGAACAGAAGGTGAGGGTGTGGCTCCCCTGTTCCAGAAGAATGTGTTCCATCTGAACTCTGTCTTCCCTCTGTTTGGTGGGACTGAGTGTAGCAAGCAAGACCCTCCTCTGGGCGCTTTCAGGCACCCGTATAGATGTGGTAGGGGCAGAGTCCTGAGGTCATCCAGGGGTCCCGCATGCTTGCCCAGTGCTCACCTCCAGGACAGGGCCGTTGGATGACACACTTCCGTGATTCGGACTGCACGGAGCAGGTGGCTGCTTCTTCCTGCCCGGCCCGGCCAGCCTCTCGCACACGTGTCTCCAGGCCCCAGGCAGAGCCGCAGGTCTTGCCATTGTGTGTACAGGGGCTCCAGCTGCCCCAGGGCCCCAGTTCACATTCTTCTGCAGGGTGATGGCAGAGACAGATGGATAGACAGGATTAGCCGGTAGTCAGTGTCCTTCAGTACTGGGTCTGAGAGGTATGGGCACCTGAAGACACCATCTCCACTTGCCAGGGACCCAGTTTATAACCAGGAGTAGAAAGGAAACATTTAAAACACAGCGCATGGGAGTCTAGTCACATACACTGCTATGAGCCAGAAGCCAGAGCCACAGCTTCCTGGAAGAGGTGACATGGGAGCCGACCAAGAGAGAGGAAGTCTCCAGGTGAGGGAGAGGCCGACGCTAATTGGAGGTGGAGGGCCTTCCCTGCTCGGCTGCCTGTCTTGCAGATCCCGCTCTTCCCAGCCAAGCTTCATGCCAACGCACACCCTGGGAGGCAGCAGGTGATGGCTCAAGTACCTGCATCCCTACCACCTGTGTGGGAGACCAGATGGAATTCCAGCCTCCCGACTTTGGCCTGGCTCAGCGTTGGCTCTTGTGGGCATTTGAGGAACCAGGGTAACAGAGAGTCAGAGATGCAGGATCAAGACTTAGAGAGATCTTCCATCCTCTGATTCAGTTCCCAAAAGCCCACAAGAGCCCCATCTGAGGTGGGTTGACACCAGGAGCCCAGAACTCCCTCCAGGTCTCTCAAGTGGGTAGCAGTAGGAACCCAAGTACTTGAGCCATCATCCGCTGCCTCCCAGGGCACACATTAGCAGGGAGCTGGACTTGGAAGAGTGAGGTCTCCAATCTAGGCCCACGAGTAGGGGTGTGGGCACCCTAGCAGCACCGTGCCAAATGCCCGCCCTGTAACTTTTCATATCCTTGGGTAAACTGAAAGACAAAAGGACATTAAGTTCCTAGCTGAAACAGTGGGGAGTTCTAGAGCAATGCCTGGCACCCAGGTGTGTCTCAGTCCAGACCAGGGCCTGGCCATGCCATGCTGCCTCTCCTGGCCTGACAATGATGCCATCATTGGTGGCCATAGTCGTCCTCCTCTGGGATATGCAGGCTCTGGAGGCTCAGGGCAGGTGTCTGGTGTACATGGTATGCCGGGATTGGATCCTGCCTCCTGCTCCCCGCCCCTATCATTCTATCCTGAGTTCCTTCAGGTCTCCCAACACCTCTTGCTATGTCCCTGTTCCAGGGAGGGCAAGGGGGTCCCCACTTACCCTGGCACTCCCGTGTGTTCTGCTGGGTTAAGGTGCCAGGTGGGCAGGTGGCCAGACACTTCCCCTTGTATAGGTGAAACCTCCTCTTGCAGCGGATGCAGAAGTCCTGGCTGAAGCAGCTCTCGCATGTGGCCCCGCATTCTGTAACACAGCCGGTCCACCCCAGGTGAGGGCGCCTGCTGGGCGCCTGGGGTGGCAGGGGATCAGGGGAGAGCTCCGAGCAGCCCCTGGTTCTGTAGTTTTGGGGTCAGGACTCTGTACCTCCTTTTAGGCAGGTACTGAGTTTTAGGTTTGTCACTTGTTCCAAGTGACAGCGAAAGCAGAGCCGGAGTTGGCACTCCTTTAACATCTGAGCCTGACCCAGACAAGGTGAGGGCCACAGCCAAAGCTGCACAGCCAACTGCAGCAGAGGCGGAGACTTGCCCTTGGTGCTGATGAAGGCCGGAAGAGGAACGACAGCCAGCTTGGAACCACGTAGGCATGGAGCCTGGGTACAGCCTGGGTGCCACATAGGCATGGAGCCTGGGTACACCCCCTTCCTGCCAGCTGAGCTGGGCTAGAGGGTGGCCATCAGGGCACAAGTGGGGAGCCACCTACTTTTGCACCTGTTGACCTCCTGGCCGCGGATGCCGAAGAAGCCGAGTGGGCAGTCATGCACGCACTTGCCATACTGCCGGATACCTTCCCGGCGGATGAACAGGAACAGCCTCTGTTGGCAGGTGGAGCAGCCATTCTCCTCTGAGCAAATGACACAGCCTGTGCAGTTGCCCCCCAGGCCAGCACCCACTGCCAGTCAGATGGGAGTGGAGGGTTGGGAGGGAAGGGAGAGAGACATGGTCAAAACATGGGTGAGCATCTCAATTGTTCCTAGTTACTGGGCACACAACCACCTGAAAACTACAGTTCCCAGCTTCCCTTGCATCTAGGTAGTCACGGGACCAAAATCTGACCAATGGGATGTAAGGTACCAAGCAGTGTGTACAACTTCCAGAAAGTTCTCTTAGAGGACAGGGGTGTGCCCTTGTCATCCTCGCTCTCACTTGGGACACCTGCTGTTCATGTCCCAACTACTTCCATGTCTGATGCAGCTCCCTGCTAATGTGCCATGGAAGCAGCGGTTGAGGGCTAGAGCACTTGGGTCCCTACCATCCCTGTGGGAGACTAGAATGCAGTTCCTGGCTGCTGGTTTCATCCTGGCCCAGCCCCAGCTATTGCAGGCATCTCTGTGTCCTTCTCTGTCTCTCTCTCTGCCACTCTGCCTTTGACAGAAATAATTACTAAAGGGGAACACTTGATGACCGGGTGACACCAAGGGACAGGCCAGCAGAGGACAGGTTCTCAGAGACAGTGGCTGCAGGAGGAAAACTGCTTCTGGTTCCTGACCTCTGGCTCACCTATTCCTATTGGGATACCATGGTCCTTTAAGATGCAGACCACAACCCAGGGAGGCCTGGTCCTAGGCATGGGACTCAGAGGCTGAGGGAACCCAGAAGAAAGGAGATTGTGATGGAGGCTGATCAGGCCCCTGCCCAGGCCCGGCTGGGCCATTTCTCTCCACCTTATCTTTCTCTCGAGTGCCATCACGTCCCCAAACCTGGATTCTTGGGAGCCCTAGTCTTGTCCTGCAGAGAGCCCTGATTCTGTCCCGCACAGCTGAGGAGGTGACTGCCCCTCGGCAGGCCTACATGGAGGGAGGGACACAGTGGCTGAGGCTACATCAGGGCCCAGACCTTCCACCCACTGGGCAGAAGCACAACACCAAAGGGTGGCAGGCATGAGGATGCATGTACACTTGAGAACATTTTAGCAGTCTCTGGAAGGTTCAAGAATATGGCTCCTGACACAGATCCCCCAGAAGAGCAGCTGCCAGTAGCTCTCAGCACTGACATGGCAAGTACTCTGGGCCCTGGTTCAGTGGGACTGGGCTGGGTCTGAGAGAAACAGCCTTCCTAACAGGCTCTCGGGAAATGTTGATGCTGCTGGTCCAAGGACCACACTTGGAGAAGCAGTGGGATTTCCCGTAGCATCTCCAGAGGGCAGATAACTGCACAAGGCTAACCTCTCAAAAGGACGGGCAAGTACACAGAGCAGGCACTTAGCCTGAGAGACAGCATGTGCTTAAGGTGTACGTGTCCTTGTCAAAATGCTTGGGTTTCCTGCTTAGCCCTGTCTCCCGATTCCAGCTTCCTTCCAAAGCAGACCCTGGGAGGCAGCGGTCATGGCTCAAGTGATGGTTCAAGTGGCTCCCGTGAGGGAGACCTGGACGGAGCTCCTGGCTTTAGCCCAGCCTGGCCTAGCTCTGGCCACCACAGGTTTTAGAGCTGCACGCTCTCTCTCTCTCTCTGTTTTCCTATATATCTGTCTCTCTCTGTCTCTGATATAAATAGAATTTTTGAAATGGATAGACAAATACGTGGTGGTATAGTCATGCCACAGCCATGATAAATGACAAAGGCAGAGTTATCATTGTGGACACATCCCAGACTCATGCTGAGCAGAAAAAGCAGTTTGCACAGTGAATCATAGGTATGCTATGAAGCCTTTACATCCATTTCAAAAGCCTGCAGAGCCACAGCTTGTAATGCTTATGACACATAAATATGTATTAAGAGTAAATGCCACGTCAGGGATCACACACAGTGAATGTTGCATGGTGGTCTCATGGGAGCCACACACGGTGTCAGGGATCGGGGAGGCAGACTTGGGGCTTTGCTCTTATCCGGAATATTTCATTCTAAAAAAAAAAAAAATCTAAATGTTGAAATGGCAAGATTTGATGGAAATGGCTGAGAGGTACACAGCTGTCCAGGACCTTCTCCCCATGTCAGCCAGAGCAGGGGTCTCCCTGGCGAGCTGCATGTGGCACCTGGTGTTATGGGACTCACAGCTATAGCCCTTGGAAGTGACAGCAAGGCAGGATGAGATAGGGGATCCAAGCGGCAGACAAAGGTTCTGGGAAGGAGTTAGGGACCGGTGCAGCCTGACTCCTGCAGCTTTCTTGTAGACCCTATGACCAGAAGGGGTGGGGTCTACCCCAAGGTCAGGCATCAAACCCCAAAGAAGTTCTCATTAGAATTACAACACTATTAGGAAAGAGACGACTTAACGCACTGAAGGCAAAATAACAAGCAAGGAGCTTCTCTTGCCTCTGAGAGTGTTGGTGTAACTGCAAGGGGTCAGAATGGATGACAACCCTCAGCCTCCAACCCTGAGCCTAGGCTTCCTGCAGGAATCTCAGGCCTCGGAAGTTGACTAGGGTGCCCTCTAGTGTCTGTATCTTGTAATGGCACCTCCATCTGGCATTTCATTACATCTCTAACTTATTACGAAGAGCAAAGCTATTTCCCCCTCTCTCCTTGCTCATCCTCTCAAACATCCAAGGTCATGGGGTGTAGGGCCTCACATGCTCACATGATGGGTAATAAGTGATGACAACTGGAGTCTGTACATTGCTACTCTAGAAAGATCCAAACTTAGTGCTTCTTATTCTTGAGCGAGTATCAGAACATGCAGAGGCTTATAGTCCTTGGGTTGGGCCCAGGAATGTGAACTCTAGCAAAAAGAAATGCAGTAGGCATTTCAGAAGTGTCTTCCCTGAGGACAGTTTCTTCTCCCTGAGAAATGGCGCTGGAAGGCACGCCTGTCTTGGGTGACCCAGGCCCTGACTCATGGCCAACCGAACCGGGGGGACAGCCAGCTCATCCGATGACACCATGTCTCTTGAGAAGAATCTGCACTCCAGACTGGCAGGAAGTAGTCTGGGATGGCCTCTGACCACGTCCAGTCCTAGTACACATGTGTGAGGAATCCCAGTAGGAACAAGCACCCACAGGCCCTCTCTTCTTGTACTGCCTCCCCTGCTATGATTCCTCCAACTTTGAGGCTCATGGGGAGGTTTGTCTCACCCAGATGCACTTGACCTGCCCTTAACCAATCGGAGCCTCGATCCCCCAGCTATGAAAGTTGCTGATTTAGGAGACAGATATGAATCCCAGCAACAACTCTTGGAATTTTTACCACTGTTTTCATTGTCTTCTCGGATCTGGAGGTTGCAGACAGAACTGGTGGGCAACACATTAGTAAGGAGCCTTGCGAGAGCAGAGGGGGCGCTGCGGGTGGTGGCAGAGCCAGGAGAGCCCAACGCAGTCCCCAGGAGTCACCTGCACCCTGGATCTACCCCAGGGACCCACTGATTCCTTCCTCAAGCCATCGTTGGTTGAGTTTTCATTGCTCGCAACCAAATGGTTCCTGACTCACACAGAAGCAGACAGCAAGAGAGAAACGAATGCAGGCGCAGGCCGAGAGAAACCTCTACCTCTTGAGCTCTGAAATGCAGATCAAGCTTCTGACCGTCCTCTATTCCCCTTCCCTGTCACACTCACTGCCCCCCAGCCCTTCCAAGGCCTCGCTCGCACAGTAACCTCCAAAGAAAGTCACTTTCTTTTTCCTGTCAAGTAACAACCAACACAGGTTTTGCTCGCTCTGAGGAGCAGAGGAAGACCACAGTGGAGTGCCAGGAATGTGGCCCTGTGTCGCTGTAGCAGCTGGAAAGGTTTGAGTGACATGGGAGTCACTTGTCTTTTCCCCCAGGTACCGGGGGGATGAGCTGACCCTCGGGAAGCACATTTATTGAGAATGATAGTAGAATTTAATCACTCCCATCTTTATGACAATCCACAAAAGTGATACAGGCTTGTTACCACTCTGAATTCATGTGCCTTGGGCCTGGCATGGTGGCGCAGTGGTTAAGGTCCTCGCCTTGCACGCCCGGGATCCCATATGGGCGCCAGTTCTATCCCCGGCAGCCCCGCTTCCCTTCCAGCTCCCTGCCTGTGGCCTGGGAAAGCAGTCGAGGACGGCCCAAAGCTTTGGGACCCTGCACCCGCGTGGGAGACCCGGAAGAGGCTCCTGGCTTCGGATCGGCATAGTATCGGCCGTTGCGCTCACTTGGGGAGTGAATCATCGGACGGAAGATCTTCCTCTCTGTCTCTCCTCTCTGTATATCCGCCTTTCCAATAAAAATAATAAAAATAAATCTTTAAAAAAAATAGTTACCAGCCTTGCCTCTGTGTCAGTCCACTAGGGTTTGCGCACCCCTCAAAACAGAGCCCATGGAGTAGGAATTGCTGTCTCCCCGTTTTCTGATAGGGAAAGAGGGACCCACAGATGAACAAACAGACTCTTCCAGGATTGGTGGAGCTGGGATTTCCACCAGGACACCTGTGCTACATGGGTGTTGTAAGTGCTTAGTGGCTAGAAAACACATTCCCAATGATGTGGCCTGGCAGGTGCATTAGGAGGGGGCTCCATGAGAAGTAGAGTAGCCGGGACTTAAACCAGTACTCTGAAATGGATACAGGCATCCCAAGCGGCAGCTTCAACTGCTGTGCCACATTGCCCAACTTCTCCTCCGTTAGCAGGTTCCGAGTGCACTTAGGGGCTCTCTGCATGGCATGCCTCCAACCTTTGGAGTTTTCCCAGAGGGGTCCAGGGCAGGGTGAGACGGGACCCAGAAAATGCACATTCTCCCAGACAAGTTCCTTTGCCCAGCAGTCTACTGTGAGGCTGTCATCAAAATATCCTCAATGCTCACGCCAAGAACTCTAGCCACACACTTAAAAAAAAAAACAATAATAACAAACATAAGTAGATTGCAACATTTATAGAAATCAAGAGATTTCGGGCCCGGTGCGATGGCGCAAGTGGTTAAGGTCCTCGCCTTGCACGCCCGGGATCCCATATGGGCGCTGGTTCTAATCCCGGTGGCCCCACTTCCCATCCAGCTC